GAAGTAGGGGTGTCAGATTGGTGAGGTTTTATTCACCAGCACCCGTGTCCTTTATTAGAATACGCACAAGACGCGCATCTCATGGTTTGGCTGATCACAGTAGTTGTGTTTCGGCGTGTTACTTCACATTGTGTTGTAACGAATATATCCACGAGTATACGTCTTGAACTGTCCACGAGTATATGTATTGAACAAAGTACGAGTTGTGCAGCGGGTGTGTCTGATCAAGCGATTCTGGATGTTTTTGAGAGTGGATGTCATCGGTACATGCATGCATGCGTGTCACTGTGTGATCATATATATATATATAAAAGTATATCTGTGCACATAATGCCGACGTGTATGCTCAATTCCGCCAGAACACCCCAGAGCCGTCGTTTAATACGTACAATATGTTGCATGTGTGTATATATGGTATGTGAGATATATGTGTATACGTATACGATTGATGAGATATATATGTGTTCCTACAGTAGCACAGAATCCTTTGACATATGATACCTATACAGCATGTATTCATACACACTTGTGTCTAGGACTCTAAATATACTCATACTCGTTTATTAGACACGCGCACCACACACACTCAGGCACACATGCTCGCTTGTACACCCAAATGTGCGGACTCGTACACCGCAGAATACTCGCTTATACATTTCTAGTTATCTCGTTCTACACTAACACGAGCCCACATATCCACCCAGTCAAGCAAGCTCATACCCATACACTCGTATATACACAATCGTATACTCGTATACGCAATCATACACTCGTATATACACAATCGTATACTCATATATGCAATCATACATTCGTATATACACAATCGTATACTCGAATTCGCAATCATACACTCGTATATACACAATCGTTAACTCGTATACGCAATCATACACTCGTATACGTAATCATACGCTCGTATACGCAATCATACACTCGTATACGCAATCATACACTCGTATACGCAATCATACACTCGTATACGCAATCATACACTCGTATGCGCAATCATACACTCGCATTCGCAATCATACACTCGTATACGCAATCATACACTCGTATACGCAATCATACACTCGTATACGCAATCATACACTCGTATATGCGTAGTCATAAACACATATATACGCAACCATACACACACCCTGTTAGTAGCGGCAGTCCTGGGTCGTACTATCTTGATCAACGGCGCCAGTTTTGGATCCACAGCCTTCACTTGCAGAGGTACATTCGTGGCCGATACGTATTTGTGCACCGGTGACGTTTTCTTGTGGGAGGGCAGCACTGTGGGGGGGGATGGGAAGGGATTGCCATATCCGTTGAACGGTAATAGAACAACCCGAGATCTTTAAGTAAGAGGTGAACACGGGATAGCCACTCAGATTGTACGTATTCATACATATAAACCAATCGGTGCCTAGGTCTTGCATTGTGGTACTAATAGACCACTTTCACGAATGACCTGTGCACATACCTGGCCTGGGAGTACAAAGAAACTTCTCGGCAAAACGCGATATCTCGTCTGGCTCTGAAACAGCCGATACAGCCTGCACGGCTGGCGCGGGTTGCTTCTGCAATACGTTAACGGGGTATGACAAGTGAGTGGGTTGCTTGTGTACTACGTCAACGGGTGGTGACAAGATACTTGGGTTGGTTGGTATGTGGCATGTTATGAAACACGCGACGCCGCAAAGCCTGTTTCTAGCTAGTATTTCAACAAGTATGTACTCTAGGCGTATGGCTCCTGTACCATCGAATGGGCTCTAAATGTAAAGCATACGAAACGCACGAATGAAAGTGCACTCCTCCCTACATTTGTGCATGTCTTGCAAAAGTAACGCCCAATGTTAGCCGATCCGGCGAGGGAGGCCAGTGCTTCATTGGAACATGTTGGTTGAACAGACGCTACCTGCGTACATACGTCTGCCCACCCCACACGGAACAGTAGGTACACACACTCAAACCTGTGTAGGTATAGTTTAGGTATAGGGTTGATCTATACCTATACAGGTGCAGACGTTATATACCTTTAATCCTGCACCAAGGAAGCCGGGTACCGTTGCTCTGTCAACAGCGACTTGTGCTTCAGATACACGTACTGGCATATGACACTCAAACTCGAACCTTTACTTCAGTAGAGGGCGTGTTGTCCCTAGTGGCCACATACTGCTATCTACAGGATGGTTCCTATATACAACCGAATACTTACCCCGGGAACACGCTACACAAACATGTAGGTATCACAGACAGCCCTCATTCCTTTACCTGTGCTTGGTCCTTCAATAACAAGGCCACTTGCTGTCGTTCAGTCAACGGAGGCTTGTGCTTCATGGCAGACGTCTTCTTGGAACGGCGTGGGGATTTGTGCATAGTATCCTTATCACCAGAGGACTGCAGGTGACAAGCGATAGAGTGCTATAGTTAAGTGTGGGTGGGAGTGCACATGGGAAAAATTTATGGAAATATATATATATCTGTTAAAAAGAGTCTGTGTGTGTGGATGAGTGTGTGAATAATACCCTTTTTATGTGCGCGTTCGTGTATTTGATATGTAGTGTCTGTATGTATATCGAACTATTAGAGTGTACAGGTATATATTGTATACAATGTTGTTTTGCAGTTGAATAGCACTGTGCGTGGTCATAGGTACGGACGATACACACGTATGTGTGTGCGAGGGTGTGCACGTAGGTACATTTAGAGTAGTATCACATAGCGACTTAGGTGTGTGCAGAATCGATCGGTATCGTGTCTAGAGACACAGATATGAGTGTATCAAGGATGATATGGGAAACTAATAGATGCATAGCAATAGTCAAACACAGACTTAAATCAAACTCTACAATTTCAGTGAACCTTCGAAAGAGTAGGATTGATCTGGCAGGAGATGGCCACTGTGACTGTCCCAGCTGAGTCTCGCGTGTGTTGTAAATGGCTAGAACGTACCCTCTCCTCTCGTGATCTCAATATATCCACACTATTATAAATACACTTGTAAATCAATGCGTTGGTTTAACCAGGAAGAGGATAGGCAATGTGTACTCATATCGTACATACTCAAGCACGGCTTATAATAAAGACTCTTGATCGTAAAACATCTTGACATATGGTAAAACATCTTGTCATATGCTTGGGGACATACCGGATGTCCGTTCAAGTCTAATACTTGTCATTTCCCTGTACATATATTCTCACCTGATTGGCACTCTCATCCAAGTTTATGCCATCGACTACAACCCGGTTGTTCTTCTCCCCAGACACATGCGCACGCACACGCTTGATCTTGCATTCCTGCACATTCGCTGGATCTCTATTGTTGTTGTATACTTTACCGTTAACATGTTCTGACATATGCGTTGTACGGACTTTACATATCCTTGTACTTGTCGTAACCGATGAATTGATATTCCCTTTTCTGTGACCTGGGTCTACATTTTCCTCATCTTCCGAGCGTTTAGGCTCACACATAGTGAGTGGGAAATAGGGCATGATTTACCAAGGATGGTTTGTACTGTGTGTTGTGTGCGCATTCATGTACGGATACACGTCTATATATGATTGTATATATACAAATACAAAACTCTCTATACGCAATGAATGCACGCTGGATCGCTTGCGCAGTATATATGTTCCATGTATTTGATTGTATATAAATTCATGGACAATGTAAAATCTCATCTACGTATGTACCATCACACAATGCACACCCATACATTAAGATACTACGAAGATCGCCACACTATGTATCACCAGACATCCATGAATGCACACATAATACTCATACTTAATTTTAAAACAACGCTCTAACGGCTTTAAACTATATCAAATAAATAAATACAGCTGGTTACATCAACCGAAACTGTTCAGCCTCGGACCAAACGCCCTTTTTTATATAAATAAACTGAACCCCAAAAAATATTCGGATATTTTCTACTGCTATTCTGGCGCCTATTTTGTGATTGGCTTCTGGTTTCAACATTCAGCCAATAAAAATGATTAGCGTATTCGAGGCTATAACGGGCCACTTGATCAAGCCCGCGCGAAAGTACCTGTGGCAAAAACAGAATGTAGTTCTTTAAAAAAAAAGTAAAGTAGATTGGTGTTGGTGTATTTTGTTGACCCTATTTATAACTGTCAGTTGTCAACTAGAGTCACGCTGCGGCCGTGTGGTCACTGTGGCGTCATGTTATTTATGATGATTCGAAGAAGTCAGAAGACTCTGATATGTACATAATATGTATTTACATAATTTATACGGTGTATGATCGTAAGTTCCAATGCACGTCAAATGTATTATGAAAAAAAAAGATGTATGATTGTGTGCTATGTATTTAGAGGATGCAGTTGCTGTATGCATACTTAACACTGTTAACATGAATATA